GCTCCACTTCCAACTCTGAATAAAAAGCCACCATAATAAGAATATATAAGGTGATAACAGATTATGCTTATCAATCGTTAAGTGTCAGCCTCCCTCGGATCACCCCCAGTCAGCAATCCCACATTATCAAAGAAATATATACAGAAAAAACTATTGAACCAGCTGATATCTAAGGATAAAGAGAAATACAAAATATAGTGTAAATCCACATAAAACACAATAATTGCACTGTTATAGAATTCACTCACACGATGGTAGTATTTTCAAGCATATATAAAGTGCCTTTACCGATGATGATCGGGGGCTAAGGTCCACTTCTCTGGGCTTTCACCACTGAGATGCAGGACTCTAGGTGGTAGGTTGAAAGAAACATCTTTAATTAATACAGCATAAAATTATAATAAAACATATATGGTCAGTCCTTCGCGTTTCGTCCAAAACAAATATAAGACTTCCTCAGGGACCAATAAGTAAAAACGTAAGCACAGTTGTAAATGCAGCAAAAAAGCAGCCTAACAATCCCTTCCTGCAAGTTTCTTAAATAGGGCTAATCCCTGAGTTCATCTGTGATCCGGTGGGCATATTCTTTCTTCTAATTGGACCTGTGTGGGTTGGAATTCAGGTTAGTGCCGACTCCCTTCTACTCATCACAACTCTTATTTGCATGTATTTGTGTAACCGGAATTGTATGCGTTCCAACATTATACTTCCATGTGTTCCATATAATTGGAAGTGGTATCCGGTCCTACTGTAGTTTTCTGTGCGTTCCATATCAGGCTTGCGTCTATAATACCTAATAGAGATATGAGGTCCCACTGGAATTGTCTTATTGAGAGAACAATACTAAAGAAAAAAGACAAAATAAGATATATACCTTATTAAAAAGTGCATATAGAATCTCCATAATCCTTGGTAATTTGAATCTCCTTCCATTCATCAAAAAATATTAGTTAATAAGTGAAAATTTTTATTTACTGTGGATTGATCTCATTTGATTTATCAAGTGACAGGTGCCTTATAATTTTGATACATTGTAAAAAAATAAATTTATACATAAATAACAATAGTGAAAAAAATTATACATAAATAACCAATGTATATTATAATTTATAATAGTAGCCACACATACCCAATCTAAATCTTCACAGGAAACAGACCAGATCCACACCCACATTTAAAGGGACTCTCCACTGCCAGGAAAACAATATATTCCTGTAGGAGGGTGTTGAGTATAGGGTCCTGTAAGAGAATGGACCAATGTTTCTGTAAACCCCTCTTATTTTTAAATGGTCTGAACTGTATTGGGTTTTGAAAGCAAAACTGAAATGGTCACTGGATGATTTGACACAGGGTTTCTCCATTAAACAATAATTCCTATCTATTTGCATCGTTATTCTAATTTCCCTTTCTAACGAGTTCTTTTTGAAGCCCCTCTCTAATAATTTATTCTTTATGTGAGTTGATTGAGATCTAAATTCTTTAATGTGTGAGCAATTACGTCTCACACAAGCAAATTGCCCCTTCGCAATTCCCCTGAGCAAAGGACTGTGGTGATAGCTTTGGTGGTGTACGTTCCCATTGCTGTCTGTAGGTTTAAAGTAACATTTTGTTCTTATTTGGTCATTTTCACAAAATAAGGTTAAATCAGGAAAATTAATTTCATTTTTGTTCCATATAGATGTAAATTTTAAATTATATTGGTTCTGATTGAGATAATTTTCAAATAACTGAAAAGAAGAAAAGACCCCTTCCAAATAATAATGACATCGTCTATATATATCTCCGCCAGAGCAACTGGTTCTCCCTCCAGTCATGACAAGACCAAACGAATAGATCCTCTCATCTCCTCATATGAATGTTGGTATAACTGGGGGCGAACCTGGTGCCCGTGGCGTTCCCCGTGATTTGTAAATAAAAATTTCCTCTGAAGAAAAAATAAATGTGCTCCAAAATAAATTTAACTGAAAGAAAAATGAAATCTTTGATACCTCGGGGTAGGTCCCTATCAAGGGTCATGAAGTGGTTAATAGCTTCTATCCCAAGTTGATGGCTAATAATGGTATATAAAGAGGCCACATCGAGTGTGACCCAACTATAATTGGGACTCCATTCAATATTTTCCTGTAAAAATGATTTGGTGTCCTTGATAAAAAAGAGATCCCTGGGCATATTTTTGCAAATAAGAATCTGCAAAAGCTGAAAGGTTGGCGGTCAGAGGATCCACGCCACTAATTATTGGACCACCCGGGGGATTAAACAAACATTTATGGTTTTTTGGTAGGAAATAAAAAATTGGAATGATTTGGCTTTTTTGAAATAAAAAAAAAATCTTTATTGGCTTGTGAAATGACATTATTATTTTTTGCTTCCTCCAATAATTTGTACAAAATTAAGTTAAATGACTTAGTTGGATCATTTTTAAGTGTAATGTATTTACTATTATCACCCAAAATATTTAATGCTTCCTGTAAATAATCTCTAGACATAACAATTCCCCCTCCCTCCCCCTTTGTCCGTCTCTTTAATTACGATGTCTTCTCTTTTATTAAGATTTTTTTAGGCATAATTCTTCCTTTTTAGTTAGATTTCTATGTTCTTTTGGGTTCTGCATTCCCACAAAGGTTTTGAATTCCTCGTCCACCATTTTTTCAAAAATTTCTAAATATGGACCCTTGCTTTGGACAGGGAAAAGGTGTGATTTTGGCTTAAATTTCCTATTTCTTACTTCCAGCTCATATATATTAGATGATGGTAGTGGGACAGGTTGTAACAAAAAGTGTATTTTTAAGGTTAGGGATCTGATCTGATCTGATTCTTTAAATCTATGTATAGATTAAACTCGTTAGCGTTTTTGGGGGGAAAATTTCATGCCCTTGGACAAAAGAGAATTTCTTCACTGGACAGTGGCATTCCCGATATATTAAAGATGCCCTTATCCATTTCACTTTTTTTTAAAGTTATCTGTCCCTGTGTCAAATCACCTAATCCTCTGTTCTTATTCTTTTATGAGGGGGGTCCACATGTAGAGGAGAGAAACAATTGTGATGTTCCCAATTATTTACCCTTGGGTGGAAATAATTTGTGATTGTTTTTTCTTTTGGACCTCTGGTCCTCCTTTGAAAATTTTCCTCCTTCTCATCATAATGGGGTTAAATCTATTGGTACCAGAATCATGTCTAGCTACCTGAGCGTAAGATCTGACCCTTCTGTCCTCTAATGGAGGTGTATTTTTATAGTCTTGTATATTAGTCCGCGCCCTAGGGGGAGTACAGTTTATTTTCTTATTAACCTCTGAGTGGGGATCTCTTGGATTCCTTATCATATAATCTTGGGGGGCATGTCTCTTTTTATATAAAGGGATTTTAGGAAATTTCCCTCTCTGGGTCTCATTCTAGATTTTTATTACTGGTGGAAAATGTATTATTATTTTTGTCATCCTTATCCCTTCTATATTTCTTACTCTTGGTTTCCGCAATTTTTTCATCTAAATGTCTTACATTCTTTTGTAAAGTGTCCTCCCTCTCTTTAAACTCAGGACTTTCTAGATCTATTTGAGCGGTGGATTCTAATTGATCCAATTCCTCCTTCACTCATTTCTCTTGAATATTTAATAATAAGATGCATTAATTGAAAAGAGCAATTAGATAAAATTTCATCCCATTCATTAAGGAAGGTTTCACTTTCCAAACCAAAAGCAGGTGTTTTTTCTATGCGTAAACCTCGTGGTATAAGGCCCTCCTTCAAATAATTTTCCAAAAATGCAATTTCCCACCATTTTTTTGTTTCACTACTCCGCAGTTTTTCTTTACGTTTAAAGTATTCATCTAGCCCTTTAAAGGGTTGTGGTTTCTCCCATTCTTGGAATATTGCTTCAAATTGTTTTAAACAATGTTTTTGCATATTTGATAGGAAATCAATGCTGGTAGCCATATGGAAAAATATAGGTAAGTATGTGTGGCTAATCAAATAGAACTGGGTACAAACGAACTACCAGCTGCCTTGCCAACTCTAAAATATTTTCAGTAACGTTAGTAACGTTAGCTACATCAAAGCCTTCGGAATCATCAACTAACTGTGGGCAGAATATTTTCCAGACCTGTTTCATTTGGTTTCCTTTATGTCATTCCAAGCATCTCCTACAGTTGTAATGCAATCCACGATGTTGAAGCGTTTCCAAAATTTGGATATGACTTCTACTACTTTGTCCATTGCTGCAATACACTTACTAAATGTTCTTTTTAAGTAGTTCAACTTGAAAGCAGCTATGACACATTGATCCATGGGCTGCAGTAGTGAGGTGGTATTTGGTGGTAGGAATTGCACTTGAATGTTAGGGTTCAGCTCATCTAGCGTTCAACGACGTTATTGACAAGCGGCAAAATGTGGAATGGGATATTGTTGTCCTTGCAACAGGCTTTCAACTCTGGAGCAAATCAGGTGTCAAACCAATCTTCAAAAAGAGCTGCAGTTACCCATGCTTTTTTGTTAGCTTTCCAATGCATTGGAAGTCTAGTTTTAACGTAGTTCTTCAAAGCTCTCAGATTTTGCCATCAGTAAATTAGCAGAAATAATTTATTCGATCTTTAGCTGGCTTGTAGCCTGGTGTTGATTTTTCTTGTCTTGCAATGAAGGTTCTTGAAGGCATCTTAATCCAGAATAACCCAGTCTCATCCACATTAAAAATCTGATCCATGGTGTGGCAAACCTAGCCACTTAAGACTATTGCATGTGTGGATATCATGGGGTTTGCTTGCTGTAAGAACCAAGTGTAATGTGGTATGTTGCGTTCACGCGAATGCTTGTAATGCGTAAAACCTAGCATTGCCTATGCAGTTTCACGAACAGTGAGTTTAAACACTGTTCGTGAAACGAATGAACTACCGAATGGTCGACCACACACAGGAGGTCGTGTGGCGCCCATTAACCGATTGCAACATTGTTGCAATCGGTAGTTAAAGACTTCCCTAGGTGGCCGTCATTCGGCTACCGACCACACGCCGGTCGGCCATCTTGGTTCCTTTGTTAGCCCAGCGGGGTTTTGCCGTCGAGTGTCTGGAACTAAAAACGGCTACTGGACGGCGCGAACACCGCTGGACTTCCAGGCCGTTCGGGAGCCCCGGCCGTTCGGTAGTTTGTTCCCCTAATATCAATCGCTATTTTAACAGTATGTTGGTAATAATGTGTATTTCGTGCGGTGTTCGGTTAGTTAGACTGGGAGCTGAGCGGTATTCCCACGAACTATGCGCTCAGCCTCCAGCTATCTACCGAACGTCCATTCATGTAAAACAAGTGAATATTTTTAAAGTTATGTATTTTAATGTAGAATGTAAGTTCTGCTGCACGGAGGGATAATCCACTTAACTGTATATTCTAGTGGGAGTATCCCTCTCGTGCAGCAGTGCATGGTGGGAGAAATATCCGGGTTGTTAAGTTCCCCATGTAGTCCCCTACTGTACAACCCCTGGAATGTCAGTAAGGAAACCCCTTGCATGGGGAATCCCATAAATACAGTGACCTGTGAATAAAACCTCAGTTGACTCCCAGCCTATGTGTCGTCTAGTTCTTGGGAAGGAAGGATTATTACAACGCTACCGGGATTATTGTATGCTGTTCTTATTCCCCTGGATTATTTTATGCTGTTCCTGTTACCCAGCGGAAATATTGTGGATTATACTGCCTCTCCGCTACACATGGAATAGCCTCCATCTTGAATAATTTTGGAAAAATCGCTTGGATAGCTTTCTGCAGCCTCAGTATCTGCAGCAGCTGCCTCTCCTTGTATTTTAATGGAGGGTAGACCTCTTCTTGAACCTATCAAACATCCACGGCTTGCAGAAAATTCTGCATCCCTTGCTACCTCATTTTCTTAGCCTTCAGATCATTGAATAGGCTTAAGGCTTTATTTTATATAATTGCCTGGTTGACAGGAACATGGCGTGTAGTCTGATTTTCTAGGCAAAGTATTAAGAGTCTCTCCGTGTCTGCAACAATGCTATCCCTTTTTCGAATTTTTGTTGTGTTAACGGTTGTAGCACTCTTAATTTCTGCAAGAATTTTTTTCTCTGTTTTTCATGACTGTGTTAACTGTAGTCCAAGTGAAGCCTAGCTTTCGGCCTTTTTCAGCTTGACTTACACCTTCATCATACAATTTTAGCCTTCATATCTAGGGTAATAGATTAACAGCTTTTTTTTTTTGTATCTGCCATTATTAATGTACAGGACACGATAGGTACCTGTATACTGTACCTGTAACAATCAAAAGAACAAATATAAGTTCCTAAAATATGTACTGTAACTGTATTTCAAAATTATCCCTAAATTATTAGGCAGACTTGTACATTACAGTATTTACTATTTCAGAGGACCAGGGGCTGTATTTAGGGGGTCCAGAGCTCTAGTGGGGGGAAGGGGAATCAGGGCCTATTATAGGGGAGCCATGGGCTGTGGTGGGGTCATGGGCTGCAGTGGGAGAGGTAGGGGGCATGGGCTGTAGTATTGGGATCAGTGGCTGCAGTGGGGGAGGGTGGGGCTGTAGAGGGCTGTCAGGGGCTGTAGTGGGGTGGGTCAGGGCCTATAGTAGGGGGCCATGGGCTGCAGTGGGGGGGGTTAGGGAGTGAAGGGAAAATAGGTTTCACCAAATACTGTACAGTAAAATATACAGGTAATACACTTACGCTTATGCACGTTTTTGGGTGGATGGACGGCAACACTTGGCTGGTGTGCAACTTCAGTCAAGCTGGCGGACAGCAACTCTGGGTGTGTGACTTGCCTCGTCACTGGCGGCAACTCGTTTACATGAAAATGCCTGCAGTGAATTAATATACTCACCAGAACATCTACATTATATTTGTTCTGGTGACTATAGTGTCTCTTTAATATAACTATATTCAGTGCCTCTGCTGTCTGTACTCACGAGGCACTTTAAGTACGTTCGCGGGTATGTCCATACTCGCGAGTGTACATAAAGCAGGGTATGCTTGTAACAGCTGACCAACGTGGTTTACAGGCATTTATACCAATTCATTTTTAGAAACATTTGCAATGATATGAAAAAACATTCTTGTGGTAATGCTTGCTTGTATTTTGTGACTGGTTTGCCCACAGTGTGAAAACAAAGTGAATACAGAGAGTATGTTGTTAATGCAGAGTACAGTGAGTGTGTGCTGAGTGTAAATGTAGGATGCATTTCGTAGAAACCAGAAAGATAAGAAAAACTAATTTAATAAGTCTTAAAGTTTCTATTGAACCAATACCTTTCATACAGTCCCCTACACAGTTACCCTCTGCTTGGCTGTTAATATGATCAGTCCAGACATTTTCCTCTTGCTTTGTCCCTCTTGCTCTGGAATCCTATTTCCCCAAAAAAGCAACCCCACAAATCGGATATCTCACCTCTTGAACTAACTGCCCAAAAAGGAAGGTAGCTCTCCCAACTATTGGTTATCTCCAGATGCCTTTTTACCTCCCCAACATCCTATACAAAGAGCTCTCTGGTTGTTTGTCGTGGGATTGAGCGACACTCAAGCAATCATTCACAATATTGTGGTAAAGTTCTGATCTGGTGAATAGTTCCACAGCAATTAAGGGTATCTGCTGGGCAGGCATTCTATGTGAATGAGTCCAGGTGAATAGTTCCACAGTGATTCAGGTTGTCTCCTGGTCAGGCCCCTTGTACACTAGCATCTGGGCCCCCTGTACCATCTTCCCTCAATAACAATAGCTAGTTTCCGCACCTTGATAGAGTCCTGTGATGGGGTGCATAGTCTATGGGCAGATTGCTGGCCTCCAAACCGCTATGTGAGCCGGGGGTTCCTTCATAACGATCTTTAAAGGTGGAAGTTTGTCACAAAGGAACTGTTGACAAATGACAGAGCTTGGCAAACTGCTTGACAGGCTATCACTTTACTGACGGCTACACCAGCTATAACATTACTGCAGGAGTGTAACTGTTACTCCCAACCAAAACAAGTGTCTCAATTAAAACCTTTTCTGTTAAAATTAAAACCAATTAAAACCTTAACTGTTGCTGGCATGTAAAAAAAAGGATAAACTTAACTTTCTTGGCAGGGCTGAGGGGAGGACGTTGATATGGAAATGCTGGTGTGCTGCCCTTAGTTGTATGTTGCCTGAATTTAGTGGTGACAGATGCCAAATGTGCACAGAATTTACATTAGCCAGTCCACAACACTATTTTAAGACTGGCTAATGCTGCTGCTGGATGGTTAGTTACACGTTCGGCAGCGCTATATTGTAACTCTTAATGCGCAAAAGGGAACAAGCAGGCCAAAGAATTAGGCCTAACCGCTGAAGATTATCAACACTTAAAAACTATCGTATCACTTTTGGATGAACAGGATGACAAACAACCCCTTACGAACTGCAAATCTCCCAGCTGGTACACTCCAAATTTCAAGGAAGTGTTCAGTGTGGATTTGTTTGTCCAAATGACGACAAAAGCTATAGAGTCTCTCACACCCCTAGACAAAATGGAGGACAACCTAACAGGAAAGGAACGTGAAGCACTTAGGGACCTTAGAACAAATAAAGATCTAGTCATTAAACCGTCAGATAAAGGGGGCAATATTGTAATAATGGACCAAGAAACCTATATTGAGATGTGCATGGAACATCTTAGAGACACCTCTCAATATAGAATATTGTCTCAAGATCCTACTACTTCATTCCTGACTGAATTGAAAATGCTCTTAACTCAGGCCTTAGAGAATGATGTCATTAGTAAAGATGAATATCGTTTTATGATTCCTAATTACAACCCTACTATCCCCACGTTCTATTGCCTTCCAAAAGTCCACAAGTGCCGAAAAAACCTCCTGGGAGACCAATTATTTCAGGCAACAACTCCTTGACTGAAGGGTCTAGTAAATTCTTAGAGAAACTTCTTCATCCATTCGTAATTAACTTAGACTCCTATGTCCAAGATACTAAGCAAACTTTGTTGATACTTGAAAACCTAGTTGTTCCACCTTTTACCCTTCTTGCAAGTCTGGACGTCGTATCTTTATATAACAACATTCCCCATGACAAGGGGTTATATGTCACATCATATTTTCTTAACAAATCCACTAAGTACAGCACAGTACAAACAGCATTGATACTGTCATTACTCGAATTTGTTCTCACTCACAATTATTTTGTCTTTAATGGCACTTATTATCTCCAACTGCGAGGGACGACAATGGGTACAGCTTGTGCTCCTAGTTACTCCAACTTATATCTGAGTTGGTGGGAAGAAACCATCCTGAAAGGTACTATTTCAAACTAAAATCAAGAGTACATTTACAAATGGCTAAGATATATCGATGACATCCTGATTTTTTGGACTAGTTCGTGTACCAACTTCACAAATATGGTCAAAGATCTTAATAACAACCAGATAGGCCTAAAACTCACACATGTCATTCATGAATCTAGATTAGAATTCTTAGACCTCACAATCTTACTAAACATGGATGGCACGGTAGATACCGAACTATATAGAAAGAGCACGGCATCAAACAGCCTTTTGCACTGGCAGAGTTTTCATCCATACCGCCTCAAGGCTGGAATACCATATGGACAATACCTAAGGGCAAGGAGGAACTCTTCCAGTGATGAATCCTTCCAAGCAGAGGCAAATCAATTGCGCATTAGATTTAAAAATAAAGGCTATCCCAACAGAATTCTAAAAAGAGCATATCAGAAAGGCATCGATCAAGACAGGAGCAATAGTCTTAGATCAACTAGACCCGCCTCCAACGACAAGATGATAAGATGCATAGGCACTTTTGATAAACAGTGGCAAACTATAAAGGATATCTTCACCCAACACTGGCCCATCTTACAATATGACACGGATCTGAATCCCCAATCAATTGCCTATCCAAATATAACAGCATGCAAAAACCTTTGTGATCTTTTGGTACATAGCAATTTGGAAAAACCGTCTCCAAAGAATTGGCTTACCGCTCCATTGGGAACCTATAGATGTGGCCATTGCAAGGCTTGTCCTTTTGTTAGAATTTCTAAAACAGTTAAATGCCAGAACACAAAAAAATAATTTAAAATCAATCATTTTATTAACTGTAGCACTACCCAAATCATTTATGTCATAACATGTACATGTGGAAAACAGTAAATAGGCAAGACGTACCAAGAATTTAGAAGACGGATCTTGCAGCATATTAACTCTGTCAGCAATGCTAATGTGGCTACGCCTGTTGCAAACCATGTTCGCAACTTTCACGATGGAGACGTTAAACATTTGTCATTCCAAGCTTTAGAAAGAGTTATTCTTAACTCCAGAAAAGGAAACTTTAATCGAATACTGTTACAGAAGGAGTCTAGATG